TATTGGGGGTGCATGCTCAAAAATATTTTACTGATAGGGGTGCGTGATCAAAAAGGTTTGGAGACCACTGCTCTAGGCAGTTTCTACCCTTAAAGAGGCAGGCACTTTAGTGCCCTGCGACAGTCTGTTCACTTCTGTTTCAATTTAGTCTGTGCAGTTTAGACTAACCTGCGAAGACTGAATCGATTCAGCCTCAGGCTTTTTGACTGTTTGCACCTAGTCTTAAAAATCTTTTCTCCACTGAAGATCCACGAAAACAGCTGAACTCATCATGAACAGTGAAGCTGTTAATGCTAAAGTAAAACAGTTAACAGTTGTTTTCAAAATAAGTCCCTAAAACTTTAAAGGAAGACAAGAGGAAGCTCTGCAATATATAACTATACAATGCTGAGGACAAATGGTGGATGAGAGAGAAATGGGATCATGTTTTTTTCACATCTCATCCTGACTATAGCGTCCTTTGCACACTCTCACAATCCTTATATATTCCCATTACCCCCTCTTTTCTTCTCACCAATTCAAAATATTTTATTTGACTATGGGTATCATTACTTGAACATAAATAAAGACATTTACATAAAAATCCAATAATATCTTTACAACTACACTTTTTCCAAATTCAGAGTAAATGTTTCACTATATATATGAGAAATATATGTACAGTAATTTATATGTTGTACGAAATTTTAAATAAAAAACACATTTTGCAGTACTTAGAAGAAAGTTAATTCAAACAGGAACAGCTAGACAGCTACAAATACATGATAGTTTCTTCAAGTATAGCGAGAGGAGAAGAAAAAATATGAAAAGAAACCAACTAATAGTAATTTGGTTCATACTGACCACAGAGTGAATTCCAAGAACATTACATCTAATTAACCCTGGTATACAAGATTTCTCATTTCAAATCTTTAAAAGAAAGTAATAACAATAATTTACAAAACAAGTTGAACAAAATAAGTACCTATAAAACAGAAACACTCTCTGAAACACTGGGGAAGGACTGGTATGAGCACCAAACCAGAAAGAGTTCATACTTTCTGAAATCTTTCTCGAAGCTCACTCATAATAGGCCTACTATCCCAAGTAAGATACTAGCCCAAGTAAGAAATATGACTACATGGGTACCACCCCCAAAAACCTTATTTCTAGGCAAATCAAGAAATTTCTTCTGACTTCTGCAAGGTACTTTGTGTTTGGTTTGGTTTGTCCATTTAAAATATAGGTTTCTTGGGTCAAGGAGTGTGACTTCCTGTGTATTTTGAACACAGCCCAGATCATAGCTACAAGATTATAAATGAATAATGCCACTACCCAACTCCAAGATGACTTCGAATTTAAGACAACCTCCCACTAATTAGATTCTATACATGGAAAATTATAAATGTGTTATAGTTTTCCATGTAAATAAATGTATTAGCAGGGGGTCATTTTAAATTCATCCCCTTCACTGTTGTTGTGGGGAAAACAGCAGCAGAGGACGAAAGACCAGACTCCCACCTCTTGACCCTCTGCCCCTTGCCCTCCCTGCCTGTTCTCTTACCCACCTCCAGTGCCTGTCCTCTGCCCCCATGCTTGTTCCTGCTCCCCCACTCCTTGCCTCATCCACCCCTTGCTCCCCTCCTGTATCCTGCCCCTCTACCCCTTGCCCCATTCTGTTCTTGACCCCCCACTCCCTGTTTTGCTGCTGTTGCAGCTCTGCTTTGGCTTCAGAGCAGCTAGCAGCACTGGAAGCCTCCAGTCAACCCACAGCCCAGCCCATCGGGCAGAAGCAGGGGCATCTCCCTCAGAGCTGGAGGGACCAGAGAAGGAGGGTGCAGTTGTGGGTGGAGGTGGGTGGTGCAGTTTCTCTTATGCTCCCCCCAAGCCACACACATGATTGTCCTCCCCCCCACCCCTATGG